AATGATGGTTTACAGTAACTGCGGAAATTAGTTATTTAGTGATGAGCTCTCAGTAACTCTTCAAAGAGGAATCAAAGAAAACCATCAAAGAAGAGTTCTCTAAAGCAAAAAAGGCAAAATAATATGTCAAATCAATATATAAAACATGTTGTGAGACTCAGGCCTCCAAGAAGAGGAGTACTAACTAAAAATCTTTAAACCAGACACTTATTTTAATACGAATAATAAAAACTGAAATTTATTAGTAGAGATTTTACTAAAATCAACATTCACACTTTTAACCTCAATTCGAAGAGTCATATCTAGATCGATGGCAGCATTAAGCTTCAGATAACTGAAAAACAAGAAATTAAAAGATAATACAGTTGATCATCCACAAAAAAACATCACAGAAATACATTTTAACCATCAATAAAAATATATTTATCTTTTATTTTTACAAGAAATAAAAAGAAAACTTTTTAAACTTGATGTCATCTCAGAATATGCTTTTTTTTTTTTTTAAATATACAGATCTGAATAGATGGTCAAGGATAAGTTTGTACAGGGGCATTCAAAGCACCATAACTGCTACAGCTCATTGCAGTGGTTATGTGATTCTTTTTGCACCATTTTCGGTTTTTCAGTCAAATAATTTTCAAGCAGTTTGACAAATATAGGGCTGTCCAAAGCCTTTCTGCAGATGCTGGAATAATGCTGTGCATTGAATATATTGAGATATATATATATATATATTTATTATTTATATAGTGCCAATATTTTATACAGTGCTTGCAATTATGGCGCTATATGTCAACAAGTAATTGACATAAAATATAATATTGACAGAAACAAGAGATGGATAAGGCCCTGCTAAAATGTACTATACTGGTTACCATGCTTTGATTGCTTCTTTAATTTATAGGGGTTATTATTATTATTATTATTATTATTATTATTGCCATTTATATAGCGGGTTGACTGTAAACAGTCTCACCATCACATGCCAAAGAGCAAACATACATTTAAATATTTACAATTTTGGTTTTTTTTTAAAACCATGTAAGTGTCTGAATCTTTACATTTTGAAGCAGTTTGCAAGAAGTACTCTTTTCAGAAACATATCCCGTTTAACCCCACTACCAAGAAAATGTATACACAGTGTTCTTTTGTATTATTTCATAATGCAAAACACAATTAAATAAATACTCTACTCCATCCACGTCTCTGCCTTAAGCAGAGAGGCTGCATAATATTATTATTATTATTATTATTATTATTATTATTACTGGTATTTATATAGCACCAGCATATTCCATAGCGCTTTACAATATTATCAAAGGGGGAAATTTAATAATAAATGAAACAATTACCAAAACTTACAGGAATAGGTTGAAGAGGGCCCTGCTTAATGAGCTTACAGTCTATAGGATTATTAATATAATTGCTCACATACTGTATTGTAGTCTGCATTGTTCAGTCTGCCCATATCATGTTCTGTGCACAAATCAGAGAAAATTTGCATTCAGGAATGACATTGAAAACCAGAAACCCAAACTTAGCTCACACAGAGTAATCACTGAACTATTAATATTCAGGAATTTAAAGTAAAGTAGAAATCAAAATATAGCTGACTTTTTGAATATCAATCCATTTTTTTTTTTTTAAAAATGACAGATTTCAACGTTGCTATTTAGCCCATATGGAACCATTGTATTTAAATGAAAATTAACAGATTTTTAATTTAAATACGATGATTCCATATTGGCTAAATAGCAATTTCGAAATCTGTCATTTTTTTGAAATAACAGGATTTTTTTTTAGTTTTAAGACCCTTATTTTAAACCGTAAATTTTAGACATTTAATTTACTATAGTAAAATTCACAAAGTTATACCACTCAGTAAATGAGCTGTGCAAAACACATGATTCTATAAAGTTCCAGATAAATATACTTTGCAAGAGAAGACTTCCACTAGGATTCCATTTTAATTGTATATGTTTAACTAATGCCTCTTGTTAATGAGCATATATCATAACTACATATGTTGATATTTAGATATATGGGTTAATTATCTATATGGGGTAATATTTATATATATATGTGTGTGTGTGTGTGTGTATGGGTCAATTATCTACAGTTTAGAAAAGAAAGAATAAAAATGGTAATTGATAAAGTAGTAACCTTTGGAAACGTTAACCATTCTTTATCAATGTGTTAATTTCACCCATATGCATTACAATTGAGGGAATAAATGGACTACTATTACATTACAAAGGAAGCTAACACTGTGGGATGCACAGTGGAACACAAGCTGACTCGCTTATACTAAGAAACAAGCGCATAGTGAAACACAAGTTGACATGCTCCTACTAGGAAACGGAAATTATGTCATGCGGTCCATGGATACACATTGGAATAGAGACGTGGACCACAACGCCACTTGGTTGCCAGGGAAACAAGCAGCAGTGGTGAAGAATTATCAGAAAGGGTATTTGAACAGCGGGAACCAGAGAAGTCACATCAACTAGACTGAGGAAGCCAAAAGAACGGTGAAACGCATTTCTTATTTGAAGGACTTTTAATTACGTATTGGTATTTGTATTTTTACATTTTTATTGTTTTTATAGAATTATCAATAAAGTATATATTTTTTATGCCTACCTGGTTTCCTGCATTCGCACAGATGGGGGTGTAGTCCCAAACTACACTAAGCTGTTCTACTGAGCCAGATCACAGGCTCTACACTTGTGAGTATATCAACCGTAATACCTTTTACTCTGTATACTAAGTGGAATTTCACTATATTATTTATCTACTTTATTAGGAGGAAACATTGAAAATTAAAATTAAAGACACCCGAATGAAGAGGGGAAGGGTCACCCATAACGGACCTACAAGCTTTTCATACCAGAGCTAGGTTACTGTAGCTCTGGAATTTTCACTCCTATAGTTATATACCTTAGACAATTTTGCACTATATATATTTTATTTTTTTTAAGGCACAAAGGAAATCAATGTGCAAATTGGAACATTTAAGTTAAGTGATGTTATACTATCCACTTGTTTTATATGTATAATATGGCACTGGGGAAGTAAATAAGCGCTCCACTGTTTTGATTTTGAATTTTCATGTGATTGTTTGTTTGTTTTGAGAGAATTACACATTCAGTGTGATAGCAGCTGTACCTTCAAATAATCAGTAAGAGTGAATATCTCATTTAAAGGATAAACGTTGAACTGCACTTACTTTTATCTGTACTTTTATCGTTTGAAGCAATGCCCAGATTTTGCAGTCAAAATGGCTTCATACTACGTTCAATGGCTTTGCTCCATTCAGTACAGGGACACCCAGACTCTGATTAATTTGAATTCTGATTAATTTGTTTGTGCATTTCAAACATGGAAATAAAACAAATCTCAGTGTTTTGATTTCTTCTGAAATAGACGTGAAACAAATAATTAAATAAATCAATATGTTTAGCAAGTTTATAAATTATCTCAATAAGTGACTATGTGGTGCATGATACGATAGAACTGCATGCTCTAAACTCTGAGTAACAAAGACCCACTGGCCCAGAAGCACTTTGGTTCCCCTGCTTAGGTATAGATTCCAACCCAGAACGTCTAGCACCTACTGTTCTCCAGAGCGCTCAATATTTTTTACATTTACCAAAAGTGTAAAATCAGATAACTTACAGCGAAGGAAGAGAGTTTTTTTTCAACAAAACCCCTGTACCTCCTTTCAAAAAAATACAGCACCACCCTTTCCAAAAAAATCTGCCTCTCCCCCTAAAGCCCTTGCTCATTCCCTTACAATAGAATTACATTTTGTTACACAACTACCAAAAAATAGTTACCAAAACTATTCATTGTATAGCCAGCTACAATGCGGGATGGGATATGGCCAAGAAAACTCTGGCTAGATTTTGGCCTCTCTTAACATAGGACCCACATTTGAAGGAAGTTATTCCCCCTTAGAGTATCTATTACAGCGAGAAGGGGTAGGAACTTAAAGGAGATGCTGGTGCCCAGTCATTTTTCTATATCCAAATCAACTAAGAACAGCTGGATGACTGTGAATGGCACTTATCAATGTGGAAAATGCGTTGCATGTCCAAGAGGTCAAAAACACTGACTGATTCCACAGATACAGTGAAAATACAGATAAAACTGTTTTTCAACTGTAATACCTTAGGGGTTGTATACCTGTTGACTTGTAAGTGTGGTATGAAGTATGTGCAGAAAACCATACTTCCTTTAAAAAGGCGCATAATGGAACATGTTCACTCGGTAACATCTGACAAAGATACCCCCGTTGCTAGACATGTCAGAAACTTCCACAAAGAGTTCCCTAGATGCATTAAATTTGCAGGGATAGAACGAATTACTATGGGTAAAAGAGGAGGTAATCTAGATCTCACTCTTAAGAGAAGGGAATGTTTCTCGATACACAAACTCGACACAATGTCACTAAAGGGACTAAACAAGGGTTTTTCCTTCACTCCATTTATAAATACTTAGACTGATCTATACTTGTCTGGATTTTTTTGTTGTTTATCTGTTCATATGTAAATAATAATAACAATAGGTATCAATTACTGAGAAAGTTAGTGCTGTTAAGTAATTCATTTAAAGTGTTATTTGATTTTTTAACTTTTATGAATTGTTTCCATACCACCTCTGGCTCCAAAATACAGGTAAGGAGACCAAGTAGCCATGGATATTTGTTACGCAACAGTTAGTATCTAAGAATTCAACTTCTTATCAACTATACAACCTGGCATAGTCCATAATTTTCTACTTTATTATGGTCACTGAATAGGATCATGATTGTCAGTGAGCACTATTGCAGGTATTAGTTCTGCTTAGTGATGTCCCGAACGGTTCGCCGAATGGTTCGCCGAATGGTTTGCCGAACGGTTCGCGAACGGTTCCCCATGAACGGTTCCCCACGAACGGTTCGCAGCAAACTCATCATTGAGTAAACTTTGACCCTGTACCTCACAGTCAGCAGACACAATCAGCATTCCAGCCAATCAGCAGCAGACCCTCCCTCCCAGACCCTCCCACCTCCTGGACAGCATCCATTTTACATTCATTGTGAAGCTGCATTCTTAGTGAGCTGTCCAGGAGGTGGGAGGGTCTGGGAGGGAGGGTCTGCTGCTGATTGGCTGGAATGTGTCTGCTGACTGTGAGGTACAGGGTCAAAGTTTACTCAATGATGAGTCCGCGGCAAACCGTTTGTGGCGAACCGTTCGGCGAACTGTTCGGGACATCACTAGTTCTGCTGATTATAGTTGATTAACTGTATATACTGTTCTCTGGCTACAGTTGGTATGGGGAGAGGGAGGGCATTAACCGTGAGGGTTTAGACTGCTGACATAGTCACTTGACACACCCACAAGGGGCATGCTTACTATCATTATGCTCGGCTGTCTACTGACTGTAAGGGAGTGACCACGTGGGGTTTAGCCTGCCGACACGCCCATAAGAGGCGTGTCGGATCTAATAGGGTCCGTTGACCGAAACGCCCAGAGTGGGCGGGACTATTCCGGTCCGTCGACCGATGGCAAGGAATTAACCACGTGTGATTCAACCTACAGACACTTGTTCCTGGATGGGGTCATTAGAAGGCTGACAGTATGATAATATGATGGTCTTTTGGGTGCAGACAGCGAAGTATTTATTGAGTTCAGTGTACTAGTGAGTCAGGAAGACAGCTCTAGCCTCAGCAATATCTTTTGACTACAAGATAGTGTTATCTCCACTTAGCATAGGTTACTCGCCTAGGGAAGCTTTTTGACTGTTAAGCAGGCCAGCCCTTAGTTGATATACTAAGAGCATGTTTTGCTTTCTTCCTTAAGACTCAGTCACTGTGAAGTTAGGAAGTTTCACAAGATAAACCCCCTGCCTTGTATATTCTGTCTGCCTCACTGGTTTGGAGTGGGGTTATTTTGTTACTAATGTACATTACATAGTGTCTGGTCAACATTTTGATACAGTATATGTGATTTGTAACTATGACACAGTATCTAGTTGACCTGACGAAACATTAGTAAGGGGTTTGTTGTACATCTCAAATCCTACTTGTTGTCTCTTTTGAGACCCACCCTCTCCTTCATCATATATATACATATATTTTTCTCAGCCTAAATACTTATTAGGACTATTAAAGCTTATAGAGCTCAGCCCTAGGAAGCTACCCTCTCTCTTTCCTTTTGTGTTTTAGAGTGATTTTTTTTTTGTTTTCTATATTTCGTCTTAATAATTTTTCTTGTATATTGGAACTTAATAAAGTATATGTTTTTAATTTAATCTAGACTCTGAAGTATCCAGTCCTTGGATTACACCTTTTTTGTTACACAACAATATTAGTAACAGTCTTCAGAGTTCAGTCCCAGGCACATAGTCACTTGCACACAGTCACACACACAGTTACAGGCAGACTGTCACACAAAGAGTTACAGGCAGTCACACATACAATTAATAATAATAACAAAGTATTTAACCAGGAAAGGCACATTCAGATTACTCTGGTTTTGAAGTACATACTACAGGCAGACTGTCACACAAATAGTTACAGGCCGTCAAACATACAATTACAGGCAGACAGTATCCCACATGCAGACAGTCACACAAACACACAGTTGCAGACAGACAGTGGCGTCTCTAGGATTCTTTTTTAGGGGGGCACATGGTGGGCCAGGGACAAAAGTAGGGGGGGGCACATTTAACCCCGCCCTAACTGCAGTTTGACCCCGCCCCTGTCGCATGTTAAGCCCCGCTCCTGACACAATGTGTTGGTTTTTTTTAATAATCCCTGGTGGAGGATTCATTATTTTCCACCAGGGATTATTCAAAAACAAACACATTACCCTTGATACAGTGCCATGGTTGCCAATATTTGAAAAAAAATTCCAAGGACATTTTGGAATACACTGTCTGTGTATAATATCCCTGGACAGTCAGTGCTCTCTTTATAATACAGGGTTGTGTGTATAATAAATTGGGACAGTCAGCGGTCCCTGTACAGTGCTGCTCTCTGTATAATACATGGCTGTGAGTATAATATCCCGGGAGAGTCAGTGCTCCCTGTATAGTGCTGCTCTCTGTATAATACAGGTCTGTTTGTGTACACACACAGAGACACACTCACAGACTGCTAAGTCCATACACACACACACACACACACACAGACTGCCAAGTCCATACACACACAGACACACACACACAGACTGCTAAGTTCATACACACACACACACACACACACACACACACACAGACTGCTGAGTCCGTAAACACACACGCACAGACTGCTGAGTTCATACACACACAGACTGCTAATTTCATACACACACACAGACTGCTAAGTCCATACACACACACACACAGACTGCTAAGTCCATACACACACAGACACACACACACAGACTGCTGAGTCCATACATACTGTGACAAACTTACTTTCCTGTGTGTGTTTGTCCAGGATCTTTTGGCAACCGCACAGCCCTCTAGGGTAAGAAAACCAGGTCAAGACAAAGTCCAGTTTCAAAAAGGCCTCTGGCCTGTTTATTTTCTGTTGTTGTGAAGTAACAGTATACAATGAATCAGCAAATCTTCTTTCTCCACAAAACACCTTCTTTCTCCTCCAAAACACTTCCCTCACTTCACCCTGCTTTAACTGCAGTTATATAGCTGCTCACAGCCCCTACAGGTGAGGCTAATGACCTCGTTAGGCAGTGAGCCAGAACTCTATGGGAAACCTGGGCTGGACTCATGCACAACCACTCTGACAGTGGGTGGAGAATCGGCCCACCCTGCTCTTCCGAATACTCCACCCCAGGGACCCAAATAACAAGAGGAAAAAAAAACTAAATTTAAACTTAACTTTCCCTGGGGCTGCATGTGCTTACCCACATGTCAGGATAGTGGCTGTGCAAAAGTCTGGGTGCCAGATATACACCCCTGACCACCATCCCCAACACTCTGTTACATATCCTCCCCCCCAGCTCAGACCTAGTGGGGTGAGTGACCACAGAAAACAAATTTTCTCGCGACAAACTGTCAGCATTTCCATGTTTAGACCCCGGCCTATGTTCAACTGTAAAATGAAATGGTTGTAAACTGAGGAACCACCTTGTCACCCTGGCATTATTATCTTTGTTTTGACTCATCCAGGTTAAGGGGGCATGGTCTGTGACCAACCTAAATTTTCCACCCAGCAGATAATATTTCAATGAGTCCAAGGCCCATTTTATGGCAAGGCATTCCTTTTCCACTATAGAATAATTTTTCTCAGCGGGAGTCAGCTTCCTACTTAAATAAAACACTGGGTGTTCTTCACCCTGAATTTCCTGAGACAGAACTGCCCCTAACCCAAGCTCTGATGCATCGGTTTGGACAATAAACTCTTTAGTGAAATCCGGGGTTACCAGAACCGGTTGGGTGCACAAAGCCTCTTTCAAAGTTACAAACGATTTTTCTGCCTCTACTGACCACTTAACCACTAGTGGGGCTTTACCTTTTGTGAGATCCGTTAAAGGAGCTGCTAATGTAGCAAAACTAGGAATAAATCGCCTGTAATACCCAATAAGTCCTAAAAAAGTCCTAACTTGCTTTTTAGTGAGGGGGCGTGGCCAATTTTGTATGGCCTCCACTTTTGCTGTTTGGGGCTTAACTAGTCCTCTCCCAATCGAATAACCCAGATATTTTGCCTCTTCCAAACCTATAGTACACTTAGATGGGTTAGCAGTTAAACCAGCTAGGCGGATAGAGTCCAGTACTGCCTGCACTTTGGGAAGATGTGAAGCCCAGTCAGGACTGTGAATGACTATGTCATCTAGGTATGCGGCTGCATAACGGCTGTGAGGCTTCAAAATCCTATCAATCAGTCTTTGAAAAGTGGCAGGGGCCCCATGTAACCCAAATGGTAGCACCTTGTATTGGAATAATCCCCCTGATGTCGAAAAAGCTGTCTTTTCTTTTGCTCTGTCTGTAAGAGGTACTTGCCAATAACCCTTCGTCAGGTCTAAAGTAGTCAGGTACCGAGCCTTACCCAGTCTCTCTATCAGTTCATCAACCCTAGGCATTGGATAAGCATCAAACTTTGACACACTATTTAATTTACGAAAATCATTACAAAATCTTAACGAACCATCAGGTTTTGGCACCAGTACTATAGGGCTGTTCCACTCACTTTGTGATTCCTCAATAATATCAAGAGCTAACATTTTCTTAATTTCTGCAGCTACCGCCTCTTTCTGTGCTTCTGGGATTCTGTACGGTTTAAGACTTATCTTCACCCCTGGTTCTGTAACGATATCATGCTTGATAATGTTAGTCCTGCCAGGAACTACAGAAAATACATCCCGGTTTCTACCAATAAAGTCCCTTACTTCCTGTTTCTGGTGTGGGGACAGGGTGTCTGGTATGTTTACTTCAAGTTCACTACCAGTCTTATTAGTGATAATTGAAGTAGTTAAGACCTCTCTGTCCTTCCAGGGTTTTAGTAAATTTATATGATATATTTGCTCGGGTTTTCTCCTATTGGGTTGTCTCACTTTATAATTAACTTCCCCAACCTGTTCAATAACCTCATACGGGCCATGCCAAGATGCTAGAAATTTATTTTCTACTGTAGGGACCAAAACAAGCACCCTGTCTCCTGGGTGAAAAACTCTCAGTCTGGCATTTTTATTATAACAGTTTTTCTGGGCCTCTTGGGCTTTCTGCATATGTTCTTTAACTATTGGCATGACAGCCGCCATCCTATCTTGCATTTGAGCTATGTGCTCAATTACACTACGGTACGGATTGGACTCCTGTTCCCAGGTTTCTTTTGCTATATCTAGCAGACCTCTGGGATGATGGGCATATAGAAGCTCAAAAGGAGAGAACCCCGTAGAAGCTTGTGGCACCTCCCTTATGGAGAACATTAGATAGGGTAGTAAGCAGTCCCAATTCTTACCATCTTTGTCAATTACTTTCCGTAACATACTTTTTAAGGTCTTGTTAAACCGTTCTACCAGTCCGTTTGTCTGGGGATGGTAAACAGAGGTCCTAAGATGTTTAATTTGAAGTAGTTTGCATAACTCCTTTGTAACTTTAGACATAAATGGTGTACCCTGATCTGTCAAAATTTCTTTTGGTATGCCCACCCGGCTAAACAGGAGCATGAGTTCTCTCG